TAAAGACATTATATGATTTAGGCAAGGTTCTATCTTTTAAAAATAACAACATATAGTAAAAAGTACTGGTATAACAGTATTCATAATTATGGATCTGGAAAATTAAAGAAATAAATAATAAAATAGAAAAATGGAGCTATGTTTTGCCATCGCTGTTTAAATCAGAATATATCCCCCTGGTACACAATCCAAATTTCAACCACACTGGAGCAAATGTACCATTTTAGAGTGAAATGGTTTAAGTAAGTCGGACTTGTTTGTCTAAAGAAAATTCTAATCTCTTCCACCCAAATGAATAAATACTGAATATAGTCCCAAGATTACTTACAAATCTCCCAGGCTTGGCAAATTGGATAATTGAAAGAGAAGTCAGAAAACGCTGTTATAACACGAGGAAAGTAAGCAAACAACCTGGAAATACATTGTTTCCAAATACTTAAATAAATCCAAGGATTTTCTGCTTTATAAAAATAAAGCATACGCAAATAACTTAAAAAGTAGAGATCTAGTTGAATATATCAGTATCTTAAGTCATGGAAAATATTTTGAAGACACACTCTTCTTTCAGTCACTCCAAACACTACTACAGTCATCCGTTGGCACCTGCAGGAGATGGGTTCCAGGACCACCTGAAGATACTGAAACATGGGAGGCTCAAGTCCATGATATCAAATGGTATATTTGCGTATAACCTATGCACAGCTTCCTGTTTAAGTCATCTACAGATTAACTACAACACCTAAGGCATTGTAAATACTATGCAAATAGTTGTTTTGTAGTATTGTTTAAGGAATAATGACAGAAAATGTTCATGCTTGTTCAGTACAGACACTATATATATATTTTTTGTCTTTTTTTTTTTTTTTTTTTTTTGAGATGGAGTTTTGCTCTTGTCACCCAGGCTGGAGTGCAACGGCACGATCTCAGCTCATCGCAATCTCTGCCTCCTGAGTTCAAGCAATTCTCTTGCCTCAGCCTCCTGAGTAGCTGGGATTATGGGCGCCCCTGTCACCATGTACAGCTAATTTTGTATTTTTAGTAGAGATGGAGTTTCTCCATGTTGACCAGGCTGGTCTTGAACTCCTGACCTCAGGTGATCCACCTGCCTCGGCCTCCCTAAGTACTGGGATTACGGGCATGAGCCACCATGCCTGGCCCAGACACAGTTTTTTTCTGAAGATTTTTGATGTCCATGAATTCAGAAACCAGGGTTATGAAGGGCCAACTAATTACCTTTCTTAAAAGACTTTCTTTCCACCATATATTCCAGAACTTTTCTGCATGCCACTTGAATTTTAGCTATTAAAAATGAAATAGTGAGTGATCAAACTGTGAAATGACCCCAAATGGATCTGAAATTGTACTTTCTCAAAACACCTCAAAAGTTTGAGATGGTGAAGACAGTCTTATAGCAGACTTTGAACTAAAATGAGCCTTTTCACCCATGACAAATTGATTCTGTGACAACAAATTCACAGGTTCTAAACTAGAGCCTATATACCAGTGCAACAATACCACAGCTACATTCACAATAAAGATATTGTTGTATGGATACAAACAATGCTTTTTGTAAACACAGGCATCTTGCAAAATGTATTCTTTGCCAATGCATCTTGTAATATGTACCACATATAGAAAATTAAACCCATTTGGGGAAAGGCTTTGTTGCTGCCACTTTTAGCTCCCTAACAAAAGTCAACAAACTCCCAAGTAGCACAACTATGCTTATCAAATTTGTCTGGCTTTAAAAATGCAATTTTGTTCTCTTACTGGTAAATCAAACAACTCAATAAAAAGTACTTCACTTTTGATTTCCAAATGTTAAAACTGAAAACAGAAAATTGTGTCAGAACACAGAATATGGAAATAATTGAAGCCTAACAAAATAATTTAGACAGTAAAAGGGAGAAAAAAGGATACCTGCTTATACTTTTTATAAGACTTTCTGATGTATTACATGTTTGATGATAATTATTAATACAGCTTAAAAGAGAGGAAAAAGATATTAATGTCACAGAAAATACCCAAGAACACAATTAAAGAGGTTATATAGAACAGTAAATGATGAACTTGCTTATCAGTGGATTTGAACATCAGGGTTTAATTACCATTCTAAAGATTTTTTTACAATGTAATGGCAATTGATTTTCAGTAAGGGTTATAGGTGCTAAGAATTGCTCTTGAACAAGCTCGTAATCAGCTGTGGTGACATGTCAGCTACGCTAATGACTTCTGCTTTCCTTGGGCCTGAATGAAGATCTCTATCAGTGGATATTTTGTTTAACCTGGTAGTTCATGTAGAGCCTGACACTGTATCCTCAAGTTGAGAAATGCTACCATATTGAACTGCTCAGTTCTAATACTCGTCATCATAGTTCACCTTTAGTTTTCTAGTGGTGTGAACTAAATATTGAATCACAACAGCCTAGTAAACAGATCACAGAATTGATCTCAGCCAAATGAAATAAAGTATTTTTGTTTTTGCTGAAAAGAAATGGTCTAACGTAAGAAATAAATCTAAAGAATCCGATTATTAAAAAGATAGTGGAAACTAAAGAAGAAATCAGGGCCTCAGGCATCAGACTGAAGATCAATTAAAAAACAAAAACAAAACAAAATGGACCACCACCATAAAAGCTGACAGTCACTGATGAGAAAAAAATGGGAAGGGCTACTCTAGGTGAAAAATAAAATTTTGGTTTTAAGGTCAATCATGGTATATCACATCATGCTTAAAAAAGTATAAGGTCAAATAGTTAGCAAACAGATACTAATCAAATAATCCCATAAACATAAACAGAGGGGTAAAGTACATAAAGAATTGACGACCTGATTGATTTGATCTGCAAAGCTTCTCTGGGGAATGCTTCTATTTGAGCTGCAACTGGACTAGACATGGGCTGCAGAAGGGTGGAGGATGAGGAGCCAGGAAGATGCAAAGGATGATGTGTGAGTTTCTGGCTTGTGCAACAGGGTAGGTGCTGGAGTCTGAAGTGTGCCTAGGAGGAAGAGTAGATGTGGGGTGGAGTGGGAGATCATGAGCCCAACAAAGAAGAACCAGTGTGAAACCACAGAGAGCAATGCCCGATTAAGCACAAAACCATGCAGTGGACCCCACAGAAATGAAAACACTTACCTACGCAAAAATGTATACATGAATGCTCATAGAGAAATGTGTACATGAATGCTCATAGAGGTGTTATTCATAATGCCCCAAAGTGGAAACAACCCAAATGCCCACCAACTGATGAACGGATAAATGAAATGTGGTATATCCATGCAATGGAATATTATTTGATGATATAAAAAAATGAAGTACTGATATATGCTACAACATGAATGAACAATGAAAATATTATACTAAGTGAAAGAAGCCACTCACAAAAGACCATGAGATAAAATGGTCTTTTGGAAAATTGTGTAATTTCACCTATTATGACATTTCAAAAATAGGATGTCCATAGAGTCAGAAAATAAATTAGTGGTTGCTTAAGGCTGGGGAGGTGGGGAGAATGTTGTGGCTATTAATAGGCATGAGGTTTTCTTCAGGGTAATGAAGATGAACCAAAATTAATTGTAATAGTTGCAAAACTTTGTTACATTAAACACCATTAAATTGTACATTTTAAATGAAAAAAATATTGTTAAGGTCACAAGTTTTCAGACTAGTTCTATTTTTGAGGGACAAAGCAAAAACCTCTTTGCTGTGATGAAGATTTCTGAGAGCAAAATTCAATTTTAAATATAGTTATACCATTGTAATGTCTAGGACATGAGACTATACATGGATGTCATGTAGCAGGGACTCTACCTATTTTTAATGAGGACATGGTGAGAAGGCCTAATTCAAATGAATAGGCTCCTCTTACAGAAAGCAATCTACCTCGCCAGAGAGAAAATAAAAGACTGGAACTCTGGAAACACGAGACCATTTGCTCTGCCAGCTCAGAGCTCTAGTTCAGGGATCTAGGGCTTAAGAGTGACCAACAGTAAAAGGCCCCGCCAATCAAGGCTTCGGAACTTCGACTTCCTGGGCCTAAGCCAAGCAAATGTCTCCGATGTTACTTGTTACTTTTTCTCTTGAGGACATAGAAATGACACCCTTCTTCCTTATAAAAATAAACAAAGTGCTATCATTTTTCAGGACATAAAATTTGCGGCAGGTTTCAGCTACTTAGATAAAACTCTATAACTGTGCACTGCATTCTCAGACACAGGCCCAATAACACGCTTGTTAGGGACCCAGTTATTCTGAACTTCAGCTGACAGTCCATCCATTTACTTCAGTGTTTATTAAAATGCTAGTTCAGAATCTTAGTTCAGAGTGATCTTCTTTTTTTTCGCCCCCACGAAAAAACTGCATGCATAGTGAATTTTGCTATAGTCTTGACTTTAACACATCCCAAGCTGTCAATTGAAGTCATTGCTTTAGCACATTGAGATGGTGTGACCAAATTTTTTCTGATATATGCTATAATGTGAATGAGCCTTGAAAATATTATCCTGATAACAATATTTAGTAATATTAAATAATAAAATTTAATAATTAAAAATGTGGGTTTTGAAAATGTGAACTGAACACAAGAGACAAAAGCGTGGGGTGATTCCAGCGATAGTCAAGACAATGAAGTATGTCCATCCTGTCTCTGTGCCAGGAAATGTCAGAAAAGCAGAGGCAAAGGTGAAGGAGATGTAGAATTTTCCATGTGGGTGGAGTGAGTACCAACACTAGTCATAGAAATGTGTGTTACAGGAGAGAAACTTGTCCTGGGCAGGAAGGAAGACCAAGGCAATTTTAGAGAAGGGGAATTGTCACCAGCGACAATGAGAAAGGTGCACAGCCATTGGTCAAGACTGAGGATGAAGAGAAGAGCAGGGCTAGAGATACGCATGTGAATATCTTCCTCATACGCAGCTTTCCGTAACTTTCAGTGTAACACACAGAACCCACTCCGTTTCCCATGTGTTCTCACCGGCACCCAGCATAATGAGCATTACCACTTACTGTGATGTGGAGACTGTTTCCATGAATCCCAAGTGAGATCCAGAGACCGTGCTAGGTTTTCAACAGCCATATCCTACAGTGGGATTATGTTTGAGTTTGTAGCCACCTGAAATCCTCAGGCCTTCTTTTTTTTTCCCCATGAAAATCAGTGCTTCTCTTGTCTTTTATCTGTATGATAACATTTTAAATTTAAATATAGGGTTTTATGTTTATTCTTGTTATATTTAATCTTTTTGGTTTTGATCCAGCAATTCAGCCTGCCAAAAATTCAGATTGCTAAATAAGGGATACCAATCAGATGTTTTCTATCTTCCCTGGAGAAACTAAGGAACTCAAGTTTAAAATGCATCATGAAGAATTGGGATAAAGAGTTTCCTGAAGAAAGGGTAAGAGACCCTAGAAAATGGATAGGGGAAATTTTTAATCTCGAATTTTTTAATTTATAAAGACTTTTTAAACAATTATAAAATTTGATCTTAACAAAAATGGTTAAAACAATCTTCTTAGGGATATACCCATCCCCAGGAGAACCGACCATCTTTCCTTTGGTTCTCAAATGCACTTGTTTTCTACCTGTAAAAGGTATATTAGCCTTCTTTGTATATTTGTCCTCTCCTTCTGTCAGATATAAAGTCTTTTGGGATGGGAATCATAACTTATTGGTCTTTATATACCCCGAGATATAAGGGGAATTTAACATACTTTTAATGGTTGATTTAAATCACTGAATAAATTGAAGGGAAAGTACGAGGGAAAGAAATTCAGTCATTTCATCAACACACGTTCAGCACTTACTCCACACCAGGAGTAGCTATGGTTTCCTAGGGCAAATCCACTATCCTGGCCTTCTGAGGGATGATGAAAAAAAGGAGACAGACAGATTAGATGATCTATGAAGGTGACCGTGAGTCCTGTGGATCCGTCACATCTACAATTTTAGGTCCAAGACCATCTATGTTCAAACATTATAATACGCTTCAGAGAGAAATTAAAAAAAAAAAAAAGATTTTAAAAATTAATGATGCTAAAAAGGTGGGTTTTTAAATAAAAAATAAAAGTACTTAGATTTGTTGCTTACATTTATGAAGTCATTTTATGGCATTTAAATATATATAATCTTGTTTCTAAAATCATGTGTGTATTGTGAACTTACAAGTTCTTCAGATGCATAGTCAGACATATATATAATATATAACCATATATATATAAAGCTATAAACAGCCTCCTACCTGTGTAGACATCTTTCAGCCAAAGATAATTTAAGGTGCTAATTGCAAGCACTGTTCATGAAAAAGAAATTCACATATTAGTGCACAGAAATTACATAAAACTATATATATATATAGTTTTTTATATATATGCAAAGAAATTACGTAAATATAGTGTTAATTGCAAGCACTGTTCATGAAAAATTTCACATATTAGTGCATGAAAATTACATAAAACTATATATATAGTTTTATATATGCATGAAAATTACATAAAACTATATATATAGGAAACTATATATACACATAGTTTTATGTAATTTCCATGCATTAATATGTGATTTTTTTTCCCATGAACAGTGCTTGCAATTAGCACCTTAAATTATCTTTGGCAGAAAGATGTCTACACAGGTAGGAGGCTATTTTCACTCAGTTGAGTGATTTAGTAGACATTAAATTTGGTTCCTCATTGTAATCAGTACATTAACTATTCATGAGAATTAATACTTTTCCAGTTCTCATTTAAAGTGATGCTTCAGGCTGGGCGCGGTGGCTCATGCCTGTAATCCCAACTCCTTGGGAGGCCGATAGAGGGTGGATCACTTGAGTTCAGGAGTTAGAGACCATCCTGGCCAACATGGTGAAACCCTATCTCTACTAAAAATACAAAACTTATCTGGGCATGGTGGCGTGCACCTGTAATCCCAGCTACTCAGGTTGCTGAGGCAGGAGAATTGCTTGAACCTGGGAGGCAGAGGTTGCAATGAACTGGGATTGTATCATACACTCCAGCTTGGGTAACAGAGTGAGACTTTGTCTCAAAAAAAAAAAAAAAGTTTCAGTAACTCATTAAGATGAACAGTTTTACTTTCTTGTACCATTTGCGGGTCTATGGTGGATTTAACAAGTGATTTTTTTGCCTATAAAGTGGACTGGGCATTTGAGAAATATGTACATGTATTTCTATTCACTCCACTGCTGTACATATTCAAAGTCTATGCAGTATTTTGTAGATGGTAACGCTCCACAGAAACACAAGTCATAACTGGTATTAGGAGCATTTTCTGGATCTTGTGCACCTGGTCTAGGGGCATTTTGGTTCTTTTGTCACAGAGCAGCAGGACGCTGGGGCATAAGACAGTTAAAAATATTTTTCCAAGTGTCTCACTGATCTTTCATTTTCTTTTCATTTTCAAAATCATCTTTTGTTCACAGGAGGAAGATGATTGTGTACAGAATCATTGCAACAGGACATCTGAAAATGTCAAACGAAAAGGAGAACTGAACTTTTCTATGAAGAGCTTGATTATGGCCATACAGTGAATTAATGAGTATTCAGTGAGTCCACAGTAATTTGTGGAGGGTCGTCTGCATGCCATGCACTGTGCTATGTCCCGAGGGTCCATGAATTCTTTGTTAACAAAATAAAAATACTCCCATACAAAGAGGCACTTTCAGATGCATTACCTCATCTCTAATAGAACTCACATTCGACAGAATCATGTGGAGGCTGATCAATATTCTAAATGATAGTTTCATAAATACTGCCCCTAGGCTTGTCTACTCACTGGGAGCTGCAGGGGTTGGTATTCCAGCCAGCAAATGAAACAATCTGCATACATGCTTAAATCAAGTTCGTTTAAAATTAGAAAATGGCATAATGTATTCAAAAGTTTTTATGCAATATTTGCATGGAATTTAAAAGATGTTACATGCTTTGAATTAAGAGAGCAGAGTGATGTGTAGCTCATCTATTGGTCGGATGGAATGTTTAAAAATCAAATTTTAGAGAGCTCTGTACTTTAAAAGAAAATAAAATAACTTTGAAAGAAAATAAAATCAGAATGGGTAAGTTTGTTTACTGGTCTAATAAAAGTATAATTAGCATGTGTGAGAAAACCAGATTGGTTAAATAAGATCTGTAAAATTTAAGTCAATATGAAGCTTCTTTTGTTGCTTAGCAAATGAGAAAGTTTCTTTAGATTTAAGCCTGAGGAAATGTTTCTCTTGGCCAGAATACACGTTTGCAATGTGACTACACTTCCTGAAGTAAGCCCTGGAAAAATGACTTTGTTGCTTAGGAGTTAAGACAACTTGAGAAAGGAAGAACTATGGGACAGAGAGACAGGTAGATACACAGAAAAATTAAATAAAGATTATTAAGGGTCTACAGGTCAGTTCTGCCAAGTGCACTCTTATTTCATTGTCCAGTTGGCTTAAAATTCCTCCTCATATTGCATAGGCAGCCCCCCGCTTCCTCATGTTCTTGCCTCAGCTTATAAATGAATAAAATTCTCGATGAGAAGAAAAGTTCTTTCTGGTGTCTTTGGGAGGGAAAGGCAAAGGGAGAGGGGAGGACTCTATCTACCTTATGTCTCTCTTGTCACTGTATTTTCCATCAAAAGCAAAGAAGCTGCAGTAAATGACTGGTAAGACGCTGGCCTCCCTGGGACTTTGTTGTTACTACAGGAAGGAGGGCTGAGTTGGTCCCTTCAGTGAGGAGCAAGCCGCATGTCACTGTCTCTCTGTGGCAAGTATCATGGATCTGAAAGAAGCCACGAGCACCTACCTCACTGCTCTGTACAGCACATGGAGGTGAAGCCGGGGACCTGCTTGCCAGAGGGTGGCCAGGAGGCTCACCGCACTGATTTCTGATCATCCTGTGACATAATGTGTGAGGTACAGCTGAAGCCAACTCTCTCCTGGTTCAGGGAAGAGGACGTGGCCAACCACCATTCTCAGCAAACTGACACAAGAACAGAAAACCAAACACCACATGTTCTCACTCATAAGTGGGTGTTGAACAATGAGAACCCATGGACACAGGGAGGGGAACATCACACACTGGGGCCTGTCAGGGGGTGGGGGGATAGGGGAGGGATAGTAGTGGGTGGGGGTTAGGGGAGGGATAGCATTAGGAGAAATACCTAATGTAGATGACGGGGTGATGGATGCAGCAAACCACCATGGCATGTGTATATCTGTGTAACAAACCTGTACGTTCTGCACATGTACCCCAGAACTTAAAGTATGGTAATTTAAAAAAAGAGGACATGGCTCCACCTTCTCTACTAGCATGAGAAGGTACGGGCTTGAGGAGCCGGTAGGAGCCCAGATTTCTCAACCAGCCATGCTTTCAAATTCAGCTTCATCCAAGAGACCTGTATTTTGGGAGGTGCCAATATCCATCAATAATGAAGTTAAAGCTTCAACTTTCCCTTTCTTCTCTTGGTATCTACCAGACAGAATCTAGAAAGAAGACGAGGCAAAAAATTGCCAATCCAAACTTTTAGTATCAAACCTAGAACTGAGTGTAGCTCAGAAAACATCACATAAAGTGCAGGAAATAATTATAACTTACTGAAAGAAATTTAGAGTCACATAGCACTTTTTTTCCCTAGTGTCAAAATTATAATTTCCCCACGGAAACAAGGAGCAAGCATGCAAAATATCTGCTTTATAACATCCCAGAGTACAAAATAAAAAGAACTGAAATCTTTCTAAAAGAGCGGCTGAAAACTTAAAATTAATGATGGATATAGGGACAATATCCTTGAAATGCTGAAGAATAGGAAGGGGAATATTTTCTGGCCTTAGTTTGGATTCTAAGAGTTACTTAATTTTTTTTTGTCTGTGTTTTGATTCATGAGTATTCAAAGCCCTGACATTTGCTTTGAGAAACTTCCATGCTGCAAAAAATAGGCTGCCATCCAAGCTCACCTCCACAATTTTCACATAAAGACCTTTACAGCTTACATAGGACACAGTTACGTATTAATAGGCTTTGGTGTTATTCCAGAGCTAAAATTCACAAAAAGACAGCAGCAAAAAACAACGATATAACTTTCAGTCAATTCTGACTCAGCTTGGCCTCAGATATTGTTTTACAAAAAATCTAAACATCTTTAGCACATTAATTCACAGACGCCAGAGGTTACTGGGCCTGTCTGCCTCCAGAGGAAGAGCAGGGAGTGGACAGAAATTTTTCTTTCAGAGATATAGCATGGATGAGTAGAATGTAGATGGACTTCCAATACATTGAACCAAGATCTGCATTATGATTTATTAGTTGAATTCTCCTAAGCAAAATTATGTGACTCAACTGGAAGAAAGCCTTCTCATCTCTAAAATGGGAATGATAAATAAAACTGACATTGCAGGGTAACTTTTTTAATTGAAGCAAAGCGCTTGGGAAATAATTAATGCGTATTCATCTATTTGTTTTTCTTTCTCATGGTATGCTCTGCAGATTTTGACAGAAGATGGTGACTATATTTTACAAACCAAGTTAACCCTGGTGTGGCCATTTAAAATTCATATTTTATCTCTCCACTTAAAGTACCTGACTTACTAAAATACAAATGTCCATTGACTTTTATAATATTCAGTCTGAGAATGAGAGGAGTAATATATCTGTCAAGCACTTATGCCCCCCTGAAACTGTGATGGTTAGGTGCAGCTACACTGGACCATTCAGCTGGATGATCACTCTCAGGCACTGCTATGGAGAGAAAGGCTGCCGGCTGCCCTTTATGACAACATGATTAAAGGGGAAGTGTTTCTTCCCCACATCTCTCTAATCCATGAAAGGTACAGAACGTTCTGCTCCAGTCATGCATCACATCTTCACTTCCTTTAGTGATTTTAGTAATTTCTTTTAATCTTAGATACAACTGCTCTAAATCTTTGCCTACTGACCTCAGCTTAAACATCTCTCAACTCACACCTGCTGGGGACAGACTTCTCTCCTCACCAGTTGGGTGACTCTGATAGAGGCACTGAACAGCTAATTCATAAGAAAACTTATAATCACAAGAGAAAGGAAGGACAACCACTCATTATTCGATTTCCAGATTATTATCCTTTTAGTGGCAAAGGCTCCTCAACTGTATTCACATGTGAATATGTGCCTAAAATTATATATGTAATTTTATAAAATGTTATAAAGTTTATATAACATGTAATATGCAATAAAATTTGGATAATAATGTAATATGCTTGAGGCACATATACTTTAAGGACTCACTGTGGAAGTTGCAGTGAGCTGAGATCTCACTACTGTTCTCCAGCCTGGGTGATGGAGCGAGACTCTGTCTCAAAATGAAAAAAAAATTTAAAAAAGAATTAAAGAGTTAAAGAATAAAAAAAGAATTAAATATATATATTTAATTGTTGCTTGCCAGAAGAATGGCTGCCTCTTCTAGTTACGAATCATGAAATTATTTGAATCACTCTAACCGGAACCTAGATTAAAAGCTTACAAAATTAATTATACCTTAGGATGATACTGATATCTCAGTGAACATGAATTTGAGTACTTAATGAGCTTTGTAAGTAGCAAGAACTACAGTTTATGTGTGCTCACCAACACAATGTCCATATAACCAACAGACGTTTTTCAAATTGGCTTTTGAATGAGATGGTAAGAGACACATTCTGAGTTAAGTGGGAAGAAGATCACCACACTTGGCACTTCGTGGGGGGCTAAATCTGGACTCTAATGAAAATCCCTCAAATTCCAAGCCACCCAACCCTCAAATCCTCAACTCAGCATTTTACGCATTTTCATTAGCTCCCAAAGAATCCATCCGTTATGTTACAGCATTCTTTAGTCTATTTAATGTTTATTCTTATCCTCCTCTTCTTTTCTTACATATGTTCTTCAATACACTACTTTAAATATTTGAATTTAACAAAGCTATAAAATAATCCTTATTTTAACAGAGCCCAAGAGTTTACGGAAACTAATCAGCTCTATCTTTGTTTTCTATCTCAGTTGTCAAAATAATTGTTCTAGGCAGGTTGTGGTGGCAGTGGCTCATGTTTTGTTTTGTAATCCCAGCACTCTGGGAGGCTGAGGTGGATGGATCACTTGAGGTCAGGAGTTCGAAATCAGCCTGGCCAACATGGCAAAACCCTGTCTCTACTAAAAATACAAAAATTAGCCAGGCATGGTGGCACACCTGTAATCCCAGCTACTCAGGAGGCTGAGGCAGGAGAATCTCTTGAACTCAGGAGGCAGAGGTTGCAGTGAGCCGAGATTCCACCACTGCACTCCAGCCTGGGTGACAGAGCAAGACACTGTCTCAAAAAAAGTAAATAAATAAATTAATTAAAAGACTAATTAATTTGAATCCAATGTAAAAAAAAATACAACCATGCTCTGATGTTCTGGTGCAGAATAAACTCTGGGAGAAGGTGAAGGGGTCCTGGGGTCAGGAGGCCGTAGCTGGCAAGGGGCAAAGCAGGTATTTTCTATTCCTCAACGCCTAACCTAACGGAATCATGAAGTTCAAGTCTGTGGTGTGTTCATTTGCCAGCAGGGTAGGAGAGAACTCATAATTTAAAGCATTTTTTTTCTAAATAGTCACAAGATTTTTGCAAAACTTCCCAAGCTAGAGTAAATAAAAATGAATGATTAGTAACTATTCTGACAATAAAAATGTGCTGGGTGATTAAAAAATAAAACAAAGTCCTTTTATGGTGATTACCCTGATGACTTTCTGCTGTCAGGAAGCCAAATGAACTAAATTAATCTTACATTTCTGTTCAGAAAAGTGGGTGTCGGGAAGGAGAAAAGGGAGAGAAAAGCAAGCCAGAACTAGTAAATTTACATTCAAAGCAGTTCTTATCTAAGTAACTGACCAGCAAGAATAAATTCTTAGACTAAGTATCTCTATACTAAATTGACCTGCCTGATCATAGCTCTCTGTGTCTATGTCCTGTCTTCCAAACTAAATTGTCTAAAACTCTGAAGACATGAATTGTGTCTTATACCTCTCATATCTAGCACAGTGCCAGGCACAGCAGAGACATTTACTATTTCTTGAATGAATGCATTATTTCA